TTCTGCGGCGCTTACTTTGTTTGTTTGGATATTTGGCTCATAATATTGAGTTTATATAATTTGTAAAGTAAAAAGGTAATTCTGCTTTCGTAACTGGTAGAACATGTATTATTTGTTTTAGACACATTCGTCTAGAGGAAGAAATACGTGCTTATCATTCGGACATTATTCGACTTGACCAGATGGCTGAAGAACTTGTGAATTCTGAATTTATAAATACTCCGGCTGTACATGTTCAGGAAGAGACTGAGGAGCTTCTGGTGCCACAGATTCGGATGCTTTATCCATACTCGGGAAATAATATATCTGTTGTAAAAGATGAGGTATTACTGGTTGATCTTTTTTTTCTGATTTTTTAATTTTATTTATTTCTGTTTCTCTTTCCCAATTTTGATTTCTTTGTTACCCGGAAAGCTTTTTTTCCTGTATAGTGCGTTTTCAGATGTTAGCATTGATTGAAAAAACCAACAATGACTGGTGGATGGTGCTGAAAGAAGATGGCAAAGAAGGTTATGTTCCAGCCGTTTACTGTCGAGAAATTGAAGGTGAAGTAATTACAGTAGCACAGAAAGTGACTACTAAGAAAACTAGGCGTGAACCACAGGACTCTAAAAGGGAAATTTTGGAGAGGCAGAAGGCCATCAATACCGATTATTCTAAACTTAATAACATGGCGGAAGTATGTTTTGTTTTGTCACTTACTTTATTCTTCAGAAGGTTTGGTTTGCTGATAAGAATAAATTTTATAATCTACTTTAGGTTCGGCGCCGCCTACTTAGTGATATGGTCAAATTATACCGGTTTCTTAGAGAGTGTGATCAGTTTGAGACTTGGGCGAAAGATACAGAAGCTGCGCTTGTTGAAAAGGCGTCATCTGAAAATGTCAAGGCGTCGAGGATGAGATTTGACGTAAGTAAAATTAAAGGTTTCAAATAAATTTGCAAAGCAAGTAAAGTTATTCTTTTGCAGAAACTGGATAGTGAAATTAAAGCTCAAGGTGAAACGCAGCTGAAAAGAATTAACAATATGGCAGATGACTTGGTAAATGAAGGTCATAGTCACTCTGATGAAATTCGCCATCGGCAAGAAAACGCCAATCTTTTATGGAGGCATCTGTTAAGTCTTCGCAAAGGGAAGGAACGGAAAGTAGTAAGTATTGGTCTCATTTTATTAAACTACATCGGAGGCCTCTCACTTCTTTGTTATTTTTTTTTACTTTTGGAAATTTATTTTGTGCGGATATCGGTCTATTGTAGCCAGAATAGTTGACATTTTCTAGAAAGCTGCGGAGAAAGTGGACGATTTTAATAAAATATGTGAAGAAACTAGAGCATGGATGGACGACAAATCTCGTCTGCTGGATCAGGAAATTGATATGAAGGATCCAAATGCCGTACGCGCCACACAAAAGCGTTATCAGAATATAGGAAAAGATCTTCGACCACTCGAAGAGAAAATAGATTACCTGAAAAAATTGGCAGAAGAGGTATGTTAGAAACGTTGGGAAGTTGTGTTTTTAGCGGCCTCGTTATTGACTGTCTTCTGCTACAGGTTAAAAAAGAACATCCCGAGGAAGCGGCGAAAATAGAAGCATTAATCAGAGATCTTGTTGCTATGCATTCAGATTTACAGAAGAAGGCCATAACTAAACTTGAAGAAGCTGAACAAACTCAAGGACAGCAGATGTTTGATGACGCGTACAGGTTTGAGAGTGGAATACCCGCTGTTCTTTAGTCTAAACAAAGATAGTTCATATGAACAATATAAACCTGAGTCTTTAAAGGAAACTGCAGACGTGGATTGATAGCACCAAAGCCATTCTGGAAGAATATCCTCGTCCCGTTGACGTTGCATCCGCAGAAGACCTTCTGAAAAAACACAGGGAGTTAAAGGATGATATTGATGGGAAGAAGTACGATTTTGATTATGTTCGAGACTTGGCTGAAAGGTTGCTTCAGAGAAATCGAAATTTGCCGGAAGTTTGTTATTTTTTGGGCTTTATTGATTAACTTTTAGATCAAACTCAGTGCTCAATAATTTTTTATTTTTTTGCAGAAGAAAACGCTTTTTTGAGATTAAAATGTCATTTTTTGAGGAATTTATGTAAAACTTTTTATAACATTTCATTTTTTAACTTGATAAAAGTGAGTAGTATTATTTCGTCAAATTTCTCCGGAACCTTCTGTAAAAGAAGAGTCTAAGTTTTTAGGTCAAAAAGTTGCTTGCCAAACTCAGTGCTGACCAACGAGAGATAAATCAAAAGTGGGCTGAGAAGGAGCGTTACTTAAATGAAATGCTCGATTTACAACTATTTAACACTGAGGCAGAAAGGATTGATGCAGCCACAAAAGGACACGAAGCATTTTTGGAGATTACGAATCTTGGAGTTTGTATTTTTTTTTACTTGTTAAATAATGTTTTATTCAGTAGCTCATATAATTAACTTAACTTTCGATGCGAAAGATGTAAAATAAATTTTTATTGGTGTAATTTCTTGTAGGACTCGGTGGAATCTGTGGAGAACTTATTAAAGCGACATGGTGATTTTGAAGCGAAGTTGAGAGCTCAAGATGAGAGGCTGAAGGCGTTTGCTAAGACGGCCGATCAGATGATCCAGGCGGGACATAGGGAATCTCCCAGTATAAAACAAGTAATGTACTTCAACCTTCCCCTGCAGCTTATGCAGCGGTTGATGGGAGCCTTATTCATTGTTCCTCCATAAATTTTTCACCAGACTTTAATTGTGTTTTTAAAAGTAACGGTTTTTAGCGACTTAATGAAGTTATTGGAAGGAGAGCGTCTGTTCATGATGCAGCGGCAAGAAGACGAAAACAGCTTGAAGCATCTTTTGAATACCAAGATTTGAGGAGAGACGCATCTGAGTTAAATCAATGGATTGCAGATAAGATGAAGGCATGTTTCTTTTCATAGATAATGCAATCCATACCAGACACTTTGGAAAATCTCTGGTGTGCTAATTCAAGCATTAAGTGCTTTGGAGTACTCTGCCACCCTTAATTAAAATATTAACTTTTTACTTTAGATAGCGAATGATGACGCACATAAAGATATAGCGTCACTGCCGATGAGGAAATTGAAGCATGATGCATTTCTGGCAGAAATCAAAGCAAACATGCCTCGGGTCGAACATATTAATAAAGTAATGGTTCCAAATTACCAGAGAATTAATATTGTCTTCTTTATTTTATTTACTTTATGACCCGCTTAATCGCTTTTACTTTGACGATTTGTAGTTCGGAGTTTACCGCAATTTTAAAAGTGTTGAGATTATTTAGGCTTGTTGAATTGCATCTTAAATATTATAACATCTTGTATTTCTGGCTTTGTTAAGGTTGGCGGTGACCTCATAGCTAAACAGCATTACGAATCACCGGCCATCAAAAGACTACTTGATGACTTAAATAAAAATTGGGATGCTCTTTGCACTGCAGCTGATGCTAAAGGAGAACGTTTGGAGCAGGCTGCACAACAAAAGGCTCTAAACTCGGCGTTTGATGACATGCATCTTCGTCTTGATGAAATTGAGAATGTTCTCAAGTCTCAGGACCTTGGTTTGTCGTTTTTTCACAAAGTGGC